GAGGTATTTTTGTATTTTAATGATCGTAATGTAGCCTTGGAGATCTGATATGCCAGGGAGATGAACTTAACCAACGTGTTGTTTTAGATTTCAATCTCAACTCCTCGCTATCTACAGGTGTACGGGCTTTTATATGTCTTGATAAGAGCGGCCTTACATCAATATGATTAAACAATAAAACCTGCTGACTTTATAACTCTTATCTGACTGACCAGCTCATACCAAGAGATACTTATACAAGAACATATTGAAGGTCAATGGGAGGGGTTATTCTATTTACTATAAAAAATCAATTTCACAACAATACCCCCGGATCTCTTTGGGTGAGCTCCTGCGAGCCACTCAAAGAAACCAGGAAGGTAACATGGGACTGAATGAGGTACACCTGTAAGACACCGTATATTTATTTGTAAATTAAAACCATATGCAATACAATTAACAATCATGTGCCTTTTTTTAATAGAAAATATCTCTATAAAAATTGGAAATATAAAAATATTACGTATAAGTCACAGATCTAAAAGTCCAATAAGGTGTTTCACATCCATTCGTGTGTTTTATTACACAATAAGTCTACCTTTGAGTATAATTATAATTTACTCACTAGTTCTCAATGGACATTAGGTGTGAATACTTTTGTTTGACTCCTTTAGTGTTTAGAAACAGGCTATTTTACAGTGTATTTTGTTTTTTTTTGCTTATAGGTGATGTGGCTTATGATATTTTAGTGTTCGTAACACATAGCACGATACTTCACTTTTTCTTTGTTATTATTTAAGCCTGTAAATGTTAAATTAGGCTCAGATCTCAGTGGGTTTATGGCTTTTTAAATGTTATAAAGCCTCACATCAGTATACTATATTCTATATTTGTAAGACCAGTGGTAGTTCTATTTAACGAAAGGGTCAAACGTCTAATTCACACGGTAAAACAATGATCAGCGACAATAATAGTCACTAGTAGGGAATAAAATTATTTTTAAACTCAAAAGTAGCTTATAAGTAGAACACACTAAAATTGTTATGAATGCAATAACTGCGTTTTTAAGCTTTGTCCTGATGAGTGTCTCTTGATGCTAGTAGTTGGCTCCAGTATTGGATAGCAGATTCGCACTACACCTGATCTGTGACTTCTTTTTTAATATCATATTCAGGCACTCCTTTGATTCTATTAACAATAGTCGCTTCAATCTTTTACTTAATCTATATACATAGTACAATGTCCTAAATAGGAACATATCATTAACACAAATATTTTAAGACATAAGGCTAAGCGCTTTATCAAAACAACTCATATCAACAAATAAATCACGCTTGTGTTTACCTCAATGACCCTTATAAACATTTACATCAAAATTACAGGTCGTTGAACTAGACCTCACAAAATACAGCTCCTTGTTCTGGAAAACAATTTAAATTCAGGAGCAAAAACAAACATACTCGTCTCAGACATAATCCAATATTCATTAACATATTCAATTCATTTCATTCACAATTCATTCTCACTCATAAAAGTGCAAAAACAAGAAAATTCCATTCACACTTCTCCGGTTTCTGGGGAAAGGTTAAGGGGATTTGGGTTGTCAGTAGGAGGATGGGGTGTCGCTGTTTCCAGCCTTATATATTCAGGTCCTTCAACTGGGATCTCAGAGGTCTCTTTACGTCTACAAAGCTTGACTAAGAGCTGACAGAAAACAAATACTTAGCTAATTTAATTAAAATATATCCTAAAAGAATAATACCCACTACATAGGGCCAGTCTGGTTTACAGGCTCTATTTGTGTCAGTTAACGTGGGAAAGGCATCGACTTTCCCTAATATTGCCCCATAAGCAAGCAAGGTCAAATACAATCACTTCATTTTGAAGGTTAATATTACCAGCCATATGAGTAAGACTGCAGCTAACGTGCACAGAACGACCACTGGGGAAAGTCCCAAAATGGGGTTCGAGGCTAGGTCTTGTAAATAATCCGCTAAAAAATCGGCGCGTGTAAGGAAAGAAGGTTTATCACTAGAGATAATGTTTACTAAGCGATCCATATCAATTCCTACGTTTTTGTCGGTTAGCAGGATATTGTCCAATGACCCGTCATCTGAGCGCTCTGTAAAAGAGAAGTTATTCATAAGATAGCTTTTGTTGGCATCATTTAATTTTCTCACTAAAGGCTCATGAACGTAACTTCCTTCCGATTGTGAAGTGACATTACCTGGACAAGCACTCACACTAGGCTGAAAAACAAATTATTTTAAAATTAACGATGTATTACATTGTCTGGGGTAAATACATGTAGTACAAGAGGAATTCCTACCACTACGGGGGGAATAAACTACTCCTTGGGTCAAATAGTCCATTTGTCACCCCTATACATCCAATAGTGAACCTAGAAATTGTTAAAAGTACGAGGTTTTATGGTCGATTTATGATAATAAGGGTTTTCTGAAGTGATTTAACGTGGTTGCCAAAAAAGTTTGTTTGGGGAAAAAATTATATAGGCTGATTAGGGAGGGGTGCAATCGCTTAACATGGCGTTGACTATTGACTTAGCGTTGGGATACCACCATATAGCTAGTATGTAACCATGGGAATAGATACAAAATTTTTCCCCAAAGTTATTTTTTTGGCAACCCAGCTAAATCACTCCAATAATCCCTAATGATAGTATTTACGCAGAAAAACATCATACTTTTAACTATTCATACGTTCAGAAAATGACAAATGGACTAAAAGCTATTGGCGTAAAGCCCTGATTTTGAATTTGGACTTCCATCTTGCACAAGTGGAATCCAATCTTCCAAGAAATAAGTCAAAGGTGCACGTTGGTCGGCTGAGTGTGGGCAAAACCCTAGGGCACAGCATTTTTCTGTCTTTAAAATTACACAACTTTGTGTCCTGCTCTCTTAGTTCCAAAAATGTAGAATTTGTTTTGTGAACGGCCAAAAGTTCCAGTAAATCGCTTAGAAATGAGGGGTATAGTTTAGCCCCGAATAAAGTTGGTACAGACTCTACTCTGTAAAGGGTCAATTGATTGTCAACCTCTCCAGATGCCAAGGGGAACTGTAAAGTTAAATAAAGTTTTGATCTTGTAATTGATAATAATCTTTCAAATCATCAAATTCTAATTGAAATGGTATTTTATGGTGTTTGTGAATGTAGTCTTCTAGTTCTAGATAATACAGTAGCTAATTCTTCTGGTTCTAATAAGTCAGGAGTAATATAACCTTCAATGAGTTTTTCAACACCGCGACTCTTTTGTTCAAGGTTTCTGAGGAGAAGCATGAGATAATGTTGATGATTAACAGCATATGTAAAAAGTTTGTGCACCATTCGCGTGGTCATTGAAGAAGAGTTGTATAATTCTGAATGCACCGTATATGCCCGATGGTACGCTTGTTGATTGTATTCAATACCATTCATTAGATTATAAAATCTAGCATCAACTTTGTGAGCTACAAACACGCTAACTACATAGGTACACGTATAGATATCTTGAGTGTTATTGACTTCTTGGCTTATCTCTACTAATCCATTCGAGAAAAGCCTTTAAGTCAACAAACCGACCCCACGATAAGAGGCTTCTTAGCCCCCAAAGATCGACCCTATTTCCCTCCCCCAACACGCCCCTACCCAGGGTATGGTTAGGGGTTAAGTCTTCTCAACCTAACCTAACCCCCCTAAACATATATATTTTGAAAATGATCAACTGTTATACATTTAATGATGGAATAATACAACATAATTGGATAATTAATAAGAATCGGAAAGAATTTAAATAAGTCATTTGATGATGTTACCGCAACACTTTTGTTTAAGTAGCTCTCATTTTAGTGCATTTCAAAATAATAATAATTGTGAGATTATTACATGTGTGTCACCATTGTCATACATTCGTAACCTTAGATATATGAATTATATATCACACGGCGATTCAGTTAATAAAAATCAATCAGGTTACATTTAATGCCCCAAGCGCGCTTGCTTCTGCTGCATTTAAAATGTTACACTGTTTCCCTGAAATAATACGTGGGAATTAAAACTTCTGTCTATTGACGTACACTTTAAAAACATTAACCATTTTTATTTGTTGAATCCTATTAAATTTATCCTTTCATATACGGGTTAAATATAGCATGGTATTTACGTCTAATAAAGATGCATAAAAATTAGCTTGAAGATAAATTGAAATACAACTATTGATTTATATTAATTGATGATTGATCGACTGATAACAGGTAATCTTATGCAAAAGAACTCAATAGAAATAAGATAAATAAAAAAGCATAAATTAAAACGCAATCATTAATTAAACAATTTATTTATCTACACTTACATTACTTGTTTTTTATAGCATTTTTGAAGGTTCTCTTTGGCGCTGTCTTTTTTCCAATGTGTTTGGCGTCTGGTGCTTTGGTGTCTGACTTTGGATTCTAAAATAAACAAGCAATTTTTAAATGTCGATTAACATAATT